TCGGTGGAAAGTGGGGGGGGAGGGCGTTGGCACGTGGGGGCGGGGTTTGGCCAAGAATGGGGTAAAAGCCGCTGTTTTGAGGAGTTTGACCAAAATTGGTGGGTTTTGAGTGGAAGGTCGTGGGCTGGGGGGTGAGAGCGGCTCAGAGGGGACAGGATGGCCCTGGAGGTCCCCAGTGTCACCTTCTGTGGGGCTGATGTCACCCCCCAAGGCTGATGTCACCTCCTTGTCCTTGGTGTCACCTCCTGTGGGGCTGGTGTCACCTCCTCCTTGGTGTCACCTGCTGTGGGACTGGCATCACCCCCAAGGCTGGTGTCACCTCCTTGTCCTCGGTGTCACCTCCTGTGGGGCTGATGTCACCCCCCAAGGCTGTTGTCACCTCCTTGTCCTTGGTGTCACCTGCTGTGGGGCTGGTGTCACCTCCTTGTCCTTGGTATCACCTGGTGTGGGGCTGGCATCACCCCCCCAAAGCCCCTGTCACCTCCTTGTCCTCAGTGTCACCCCCTGAGGCTGGTGTCACCTTTGTCCTTGGTGTCACCTTCTGTGGGGCTGATGTCACCCCCCAAGGCTGGTGTCACCTCCTTGTCATCGGTGTCACCTTCTGTGGAGTTGGTGTCACCTGCTGTGGGGCTGGCATCACCCCCCAAGGTTGGTGTCACCTCCTTGTCCTTGGTGTCACCTACTGTAGGGCTGGCATCACCCCCAAGGCTGGTGTCACCTCCTTCTCCCTGGTGTCACCTTCTGTGGGGCTGTTGTCACCTCCTTGTCCTTCGTGTCACCTGCTATGGGGCTGGCATCACCCACCAGGGCTGGTGTCACCTCCTTCTCCTTGGTGTCACTTGATATGGGACTGGTGTCACCCCCTTGTCGCCGGTGTCACACCCCCTTGTCCCCAGCATCATTCCCTTGTCCCCAGCCTCACCTGCAGTGAGACTGGCATCACCTCCTTGTCCCTGGTGTCACCTCCAGCATCTCCCCCTTGTCCCCACCACCCCACCACCCCCCTTCCAGTGCCGCACTGCGGGGCAGCCCCAGCCACACCGTGCCGTGGCAGTGACACGTCCCCGCTGTCCCCAGGGCCAGGTGACACGGGCGCAGGAGGCGGAGGAGAACTACGTCATCAAGCGGGAGCTCGCGGTGGTGAAGCAACGCTGCACCTCGGCCACTGAGAACCTGCAGCGCGCCCAGACCACCATCCGGCAGCTGCAGGACCAGCAGGTTGGTGTCCCCAAACGTCCCCAGATGTCCCCAGGCTTCCCCATCGCCCCCCCACAAATCCCCCTTCCAAGGGACAAGTGACCTGGGAGACCAGGAAGGGACCTGGGTGGCTGGGACAAGGGACCTGGAGGCCAGGAGGTGACCCAGGTGGCCAGGAAGGGACCCAGATGTTGGGACAAGGGACATGCGTGGCCAGGAAGAGATCTGGGTGGCTGGGAGGGGACCCAGATGTTGGGACAGGGGACCTGGGTGGCTAGGAAGGGACCTGGGTGTCCAGGAGGGGACCCAGATGTTGGGACAAGGGACCTGGGTAGCCAGAAGGGACCTGGGTGTCTGGGAGGGGACCTGAGTGTCCAGGAGGGGACCCAGATGTTGGGACAAGGGGCATGGGTGGCCAGGAGGTGACACGGGTGCCCAGGAAGGGACCCAGATGTTGGGACAAGGGACCTGGCTGGCCAGGAAGGGACCTGGGTGTCCAGGAGGGGACCAAGATGTTGGGATGAGACACCTGGGTGGCCAGGAGGGACCTGGGTGGCTGGAAGGGGACCCAGATGTTGGGACAAGGGACCTGGGTGGCCAGGAGGTGACCCAGGTGGCCAGGAGGGGACCCAGATGTTGGGACAAGGGATGTGGGTGGCGAGGAGGGATCTGGGTGGCCAGGAGGGGACCCAGGTATCCGGAAGGGGACCCAGATGTTGGGTCAAGGGTCCTGGGTGGCCAGGAGGAGACTTGGGTGGCCGGGAGGGGACCCAGCTGTTGGGACAAGGGACCCAGGTGGCCAGGAGGTGACCTGGCTGGCCCTGGGGATGGGGATGGTCACTTGAGGTCCTGCTGCAGCACGGATTCGGGTGCAGGTTGGCGGGGTGGGTGGCACTGCCGTGTTCAAGGGGTGGGGACAGCCGTGGGTGACACGTTGGGGACGGTGGCAGGGGAACCCCCGCTTCAGCGAGGAGTTTGTCACCCACCTGGAGACGGAGCTGGAGCAGTCGCGGCTGCGGGAGAGCGAGACCCTGGGTGCCCTCAAGGAGATGCAGGACAAAGTCCTCGACATGGAGAAGGTGACATGGGACGGCTTGCGGTGTCACGCTGGTGGCCCTGGGGGTGGGGACGGTCCCACAGGTGGCTTTGGGGACAGGGAGTGTCCTGGGGGGTCCTGGACCTGGTGTCACCTGTCCCTGGGGATCCCCTGTCCCTTGTGTCCCCTGTCACCTGCCCCCAGTGTCCCATGAGTGTCCTCACCTCCACCTGGCAGAGGAGGACAAGTCCTCAGTGCCACTGCCCCGAGTTGTCCCCAGTGACATCCAGTGCCACCAGCTTGGGGTGTCCCTGCCGATGACCCGTGCCACTGCCCCAAATTGTCCCTGCAGACCTCCAGTGCCCCCAGCTTGGGGT